CAGTACAGTGGGACATACTTACCGAGATCCAAGAGGCCAACCGAGAAAACAACCCTCCAGTAGACTGTCCGAATCACCTGATTTTTGTACCCAATAACATACGTACCAGATTACTGACCCATATTCATGACACTCCCAGTTCGGGGCATCCAGGCATCACTGCAACTTTGGAGTTAGTCAAAGCCCGTTTCTGGTGGCCGTCCCTCACGAAGGATGTAATTAATTATGTTCAGAAATGTAAAATTTGCCAAAGCACGAAGGCATCTCACCAAACCCCTGCTGGCCTGTTACAACCGCTACCGGTTCCACAACGGCCCTGGTCCCATATAGCGGTGGACTTCATTACGGATCTCCCTGTTTCCCAGAACAACACAGTCATTCTCACGGTGGTTGATCGTTTCTCCAAGGCTTGTCGCCTAATACCGTTGCCCAAATTGCCCTCTGCCTTTGAAACCGCAGAAGCCCTGTGCAATCATGTATTTCGAATGTTTGGCTTACCTGATGATATCGTCTCAGACAGGGGATCCCAATTCACTTCCCGGGTATGGTCCGCTCTCTGTAAAAATCTAAATATTAATGTTAGTCTCACCTCAGGGTACCATCCTCAATCCAACGGCCAAACTGAACGTATGAATCAAGAAGTCATTCGATTTCTACGTTCCTACTGTCATCAGCAACAGCACGACTGGAGTCGCTATCTGATGTGGGCAGAATATGCACAAAATTCATTAATAAAGCCAGCCACGGGTATTACGCCATTCAAATGTATTCTTGGCTACCAACCACCCCTGTTTCCATGGTCCGGAGAACCCACTGAGTTACCTGCTGTCACGGATTGGCTGCAGCGGAGTGAGGATGTCTGGAACCAGGCTCACAGACATCTCATGAGGGCAGTCAGGAGGAGAGAGATTCAGGCGAACCGTCACCGACGCCAGGGACCCACGTATCAACCGGGGCAGTGGGTGTGGTTGTCGACACGAGACCTTCGTCTGAGATTGCCCTGCCGCAAACTCAGTCCCAGGTATGTAGGGCCATTCAAAATTGTACGCCAGATTACTCCAGTGTCTTTTCGCTTAGCCTTGCCTAATCATTATCGTATTTCTCCTACTTTCCACATGTCATTACTCAAACCCGCTGGTGGTCCACGAGAGGAGGCGGTTGAGGAGGAATCGGAAACCAGGACCCCTCCACCTGTCATGATCGAGGGCGAGGAAGCTTACCTCGTTCGAGAAGTGCTGGACTCTCGACGTCAGGGTGGCGCCCTCCAATATCTGGTGGACTGGGAAGGGTACGGTCCAGAGGAACGGTCCTGGGTGAATGCTAGAGATATTCTAGACCCAACTCTCACGGAAGAATTTCATCAAAGGTTCCCAGAGAAACCAGCCCCCCGACATCGCGGTAGACCCCGGCGTCAGGTGCCTTCTCGCTTCAGGAGCCGCTCGCAGGAGGGGGGTTCTGTTGTAAATGAGGGCGATGCCAACCCTCTTGTGCACCACCAGAGGGAACCATCGCCAGAATTCTGATTCGACTCACGGACTCAAAATCCCATAAGCCCTGCTACCTGGCACTGATTACGGTCCAGGTGCAACTCATCAGCTCTCGTGTATATATACCACACTCACGCTCCGGTTCGTTGCGAAGTCTTGATTTGCCTGGCTGTCATTTCTGAGCGTTCCATACTCCCTGCTTCGGACTGATCTGTGTTTCTGACCCTGTGCTTGTTCTACGATTACGAAAGACATCTGCCTGCCCCTGATCTCCAGCCTGTTATTCTGACCAGTAAGATATCTGCCTGCCTTTGAACTTTTGCCTGTCCCACGTTCTGTCTCCTGGATTGCCCCTTTGTGTTTGTTTGTATGTGTGCTCTTAATAAAGCTTGCAAATGGATTCAATGCCTTCTGACTCATCACAACAGCCAGCTAGTAAGTGCTGTGCAGGTAGTAGTAACAAACGCTAAAGGCAATGGTCTTTAGCCTCCTTGGTTGTAGGGTCCAGCCAGTTGGTCCAATGACGGTATCCAATGGTGGATGAAGGTTCACTGCATGTTCAGTCTTTCCAGTGCACAATGTTGATTTATATTAAACTTAACTCATATCTGACTCCAATTTTAGTATGAGGTGGTTTAGAATATTAATATATTTATCCTCGTTTTATCTGACATTGTATAGCGTGCCACGCTGCTCCGTCTAACATGTTTTAGTCCGTTACTAACCTGTACAGTGGCTTGTAGTGCTATGGACAACAACATTTATCAGTGATAATAACACGAGGTTTGAATAATTCAAAACATAATTTATTAGTCAGGTAAATGTATTATGCCAAATTCAATCAGTCAATTCATAAACGATCAATACAAAACATCAAATTATCAAAGATAAATCCAAGATTAAAAGATGCATTCCTGACTTTTTACATAACGTGTAAATTTTACATAACGTGGAGCCTAGGCTCCATGTTATGGGCTGATCTGGGTAGGCAGAATCGCGCTGAGACTTTCTCATACCCTACCTTAAATAATCCAAGAATTCCCTCAAGGAAGGGAGTGTGAATAACAAAAGGCATTCACACTTAGTGTAAAAGTCACACCCCTCACAGTGGTTCAAAAGATGCCTGAAGTTATATATTTATTGTTTTGATTATGTCTATTTCTGAGAGAATGAGACCATTGTACCAATCACACTGAGACATTTTAAATGATATCAAACATGATGGTTAAAGTCAGTTTGATTAATCTAGAACATTCAAACATTGAAATGACCATATGCGTGAGTTATGGGGATGAAGCTGAGTTACAGCATACTCAGATGCAAATGCAGCAGGAACTGGTTTTTCCCGCATTCCCCCCTGCTGGGTTGTGAAGTTACCAGTCTCTGTTTTCAGCTCATGTTTTGAATTGTCAAAGATATCAGAATATTTGCAATATTTCAACTCTTACATGGTAAAGCAACTAACTCCTATGTGGAAGGTCACAGGTTCGATACATGCTCGGAACAAGTTGGGTAGAACTGGCGGGGTTACATTGGTGCCGTAACCCGGATGGGAGTGAGGTTTAGGGAGGTTAGTGTAACGGAGGCCAGCTAGTAAGTGCTGTGCAGGTAAACCTCACTCCTCTGACCTCTAAAGGTGCTCTAGCAACCACCACTAGAGGCCATGGTCTTTATCCTCCTTGGTAGAGCAATTGACTCTTATGTAGAAGGACGCTGGTTCAAATCCAGCTCAGAGCTGGTTGGGTGGCGTAGAACTAGCAGGGTTACATAAAAAGGGAAATTTTTGCAATACAATGATTCAAAACACAGCCAAATAAACTCTCAAATGCTTTCAGAAAGAGAAAATCAAGTTGTAGACTTCACCTGACTTGAATCCAACTGAAAAATAAAGTTCAGATTTGACAGACGAATCCCACAGAACCATCAAGATTTTAACATTCTGTTGAAGTCTGTGAAAAACTCACCTGAGCAACGCATGTGACTTCGTTCTCCATATGAGAGCCATCACCAATTTTTTAATCTCAGATTTTAATCAGTGTAAATCTTGTCTTTTTTGAGAAGTGTAACTGCATAAGAATATTTTGTTTTGTTACACTGTTTTATGAATAGTAAAAGTTTCAGATTAAAAAAATACTACCATTCTTTAATCAAAACAAATACATCAACTTAAACTAAAACGAACCCATGTAAAGTAAAAATATGACCACATCAAAAAAGGCAAAATAAACACAACAGTAGGTATTCATTTAACCAAAAATGTAAGTCAGCTACTATAGGTAAGACAGATTACTATAGCACAGTGGTGGCCAACCCTGTTCCTGGAAAGCCCCCTTCCTGCAGATTTCAGTTGCAACCCATATCAAACACACCTGTCGGTAATTATCACGTGGTGTTCAGGTCCTAATTAATTGGTTCAGGTGTGTTTGATATGGGTTGCAACTGAAATCTGCAGGAAAGTGGCTCTCCAGGAACAGGGTTGGCCACACCTGCGAAAGCACATGCTCATTATAACAAGCTGTACTGTTATTTTAAAGCATCGAATATATTGATAAGGTTACATACCAGACCAAGCAAAAATCGTTAAGAGTGACATTTATTGTGGTCGAGTTGTTACAAACAAGATTAATCTGTCCAGATAACGTGATGAACTCCAGTCACCGTCACATTACAACATGAAATGGGGTCTAAATCCCAAACGGGATACTGAGAAACAACATATATCATTTATTTGTGCCCCAAAAAACACAAACTCCCACTCAAACTGAATTCTTTAGATTTCAATGTAAAATAATACATTTTGTGCTTCACCCTCAGCATTTTTACCTCATCTCATACATTCTGTCAGCAATATTTCAGCGCATTACTGTTTCTGTGATCCCATTATTATGTATTAGACCTGTAACACGTGGACAAAATCAAAAGAGCGAACTACAAAACAAAACAGAGGGACATGTTCATGTTAAAAAGACACAGAGGATGTTAAAGGGGTCATTTATTGTGTTTTTACGTTTTCCCTAATTAAAATTAATACTCATTTATTCCGCGTTAATGCTTTTGACTGACTCTTTAGATCTGAATTTTTGAGGAAATCATATTTAAATGTGGTCAGTCATGCAAAATCATACAATTGAGTTTTATATTGGAGATATTTAGGTATTTATTTAAATTGTATCTATTTGAATTGCATATCCATTTGGTTTTAAACTGTTAAGCAAGGTTATTAGGTGCATATTTGATAACAGTGTCATTTATGTACAGCAATACTGTATGACATTAAAAAACAATCAATAAAGCCAATGTTTCAGTCTCACACATTTTAGCTATTGTTTCATTTTAGCATGTCTTAGCCATAATTTTTAGACGTACACTTTTTGACTGAACACTTTTTATTATTATTATTATTAATAATAATAATATTATTAATATTATTATTAGGAATTTACGTATTTATTAACTAATAAATCAACACTGATTAACTTAAATTTGAATAAAGGCATTTTGAAAATACTGTCATTTTTTTTTTTTTTTTACACAAACGTAGCCATATTTTTCTTTTTAGACTGGAAAAATATTAGTTTAATAAATGTAAAACAAGCAACACTATCTTTAACACCAACCAGTGTAAACACATTGGGCCCTATCATACACCCAGCGCAATAAGGCATGGCATGTATGGCGCGATTTGTTGCTATTTTCAGACCAGTGCAACTAATTTTCACATTTTGCATCACGTTGTTTAAATAGCAATTCTATTTGCACCACTTTGTGCACTCATGGGTGTGCTAGTCTAAAAAGGAGGTGTGTTAAGCATTGTTGGCGCGTTGCTATTTTGAGGATCTGAAATAGACCAACTAAAAGGTGGTCTAAAATCCAGAGCAGAGCGCATTAGTTGCACCTTCATTATGCGGTCAAAAATCCGTACAAATTGCTTAATACACACAGGGTGTACAGCAATACACAAATAACTTTACATATGAAAAAAAAAATTAAAGGATTAAAATTAGATAAAAATGATTATTTTCAACATGAATATAAAAACCACTACCCTTCATCTCGGGGGGCTTTTTTCAGTTTATTGATAACAGTTTGCATTTGTATAATATTATTATTATGAGCAGTATTATCTAACATATGCATATTTATATTTGTTTTAATGAAAACAAGCTTAGATTTGTCCTCCTGCCGGGTTTTGGAGACGTCTGCATCACCATATGGGGCATAAGAACAGGATGCGTGTTTGGATATTAATTCAGTTGTTCGACCACACTTCATTATTATTGTACGTTTATTCGTATGTTGGAAATAAGAACTGAATTTAGGAATAGTTTTGAAACAAATCTTTGCGCTTAACAAACAAAATTAAATATGTAGGCTAATGGATGTCTTCAGAACAGTGAGTTTCCACTGTTTTCTTACTCCATGAAAGTAAAGGAGTAAAGAGAAAGTAAAGAGGCTGAATGGAGGAGGCTCGTTCTTTATCCTCGCGCTGCAGATGTCTGTTTAACTGTTTTCTCGCAAGTGAAGCGTTCAGCAAAAATGCCATAGCATGACGCAACTGACTCTTAAAGGGAATAGGGGATGAGTGTCTAATTGGTTTAATGTACGTTATTCTCAAAACACACCCAGAACTCATTAAGAGAATAAGCACAACCCTGTGCCATGCGTAAGTGTGCAGACCGTATTTTTCCGTGTTCAAATTAGAAAAGCGGATTCGTATACGCTCTTAATGCTTTTGCGCTTTAGAATTTGCGCTTAAATTGTTAAAATAAAGCCCATTAAGTTTAACACCAACCAGTGTAAACACATTGAGTTTAACAATAAACAGTGTATGAAAATGTTTTATGCAATTCAAATATATACATTTTACATTTAATATTTACTTTTGCTGTGATAGTTCACAGATGTTGTTTAGTTTCAATCAGCGCTCCATTTCTAAACAAAGATTTGAGTATGTATGCATGGCATTCGGAAATGTGACATTATCAAAGAACACCAGACATTTTTCTGAAAGTATTTAGAACAATTTGACCCCTTTAAACATACATGGAAAGAGAAAAAGACAAACTTGTTTGGTTGTAAAACAAGACAAAAAACAGACGATTTCAGACGAGGCTGCTGTCCATCACAGGAGGAGGAACATGAGCCATAATTGGCTAACAGCATCAGTGGCAGCATCCTCAGCCAATCAGTGAGCTGCAAAGTGTCACATGTCACAGTGTGCTGGTGGATGAGGACGCAAGTCGTTTTCCTATGTAGATTCTGAGAAAGAAAGAGAACAAAAAGGAACAGACAGAACAAGATTAATTAATGAATGCTTTTTTCTTTTTCAAATATTTCCCAAATGATGTTTAACAGAGCAAGAATTGTTTCACAGTATTTTCAACAATTTTGTTTCTTCTGGAGAAAGTCTTATTTGTTTTATTTCAGCAAGAATAAAAGTAGTTTTTAATTATTTTAAAACCATTTAAGGTAAATATTATTAGTCCCCTTAAGCAATACTTGTTTTCAATTGTCTACAGAACAAACCATCGTTATACAATCACTTGCCTAATTACCCTAACCTGCCTAATTAACCTAGTTAAGCCTTTAAATGTCACTTTAAGCTGTATAGAAGTGTCTTAAAGAAGATCTAGTCAAATATTATTTACTGTCACCATGACAAAGATAAAAGAAATCAATTATTAGAAATAGTTATTAAAACTATTATGTTTAGAAATGCGTTGATTTATTTATTTATTTTTTCTTTTAATAGAAACCAGCGAAAAAAATGTACAGGAAGGCTAATAATTCTTCAACTGTCTATACAGTGCATCCGGAAAAGATTCATAGTGCTTCACTTTTATTCCTAAATAGATTAAATTCATATATTTCCTCAACATTCTCCACACTATACCCCATAATGACAATGTGAAAAAAGAGTTTTTGAAATTGTTGCAAACTTATTGAAAATAAAAAAGCTAAAAAATCTCATGTACATCAGTATTCACGGCCTTTGCTCAATACTTTGTTGATGCACCTTTGGCAGCAATTACAGCCTCAAGTCTTTTTGAATATGATGCCACAAGCCTGGCACACCTGTCTTTGGGAATTTTTGCCCCTTCCTCTTTGCAGTACCTTTCAAGCTCTATACGGTTGTACGTGAAGCGATGGTGTGCAGCCCTTTTCAGATCTCTCCAGAGATGTTTAATAGGATTTGGATCTGGGCTCTGGCTGGGCCAGGATATTCTAGTGGTTGTGGAGCCATTCCATTGATATTTTGGCGGTGTGCTTTGGGTCCCTGTCCTGCTGGAAGATGAACCGTCGCCCCAGTCTGAGGTCAAGAGCACTCTGAAGCAGGTTTTTATTCAGGATGTCTGTGTACATTGCTGCAGTCATCTTTCCCTCTATCCTGACTAGTCTTCCAGTTCCTGGAAAAGCATCCCTACAGCATGATGCTGCCGCCACCATGCTTCACTGTAGGGATGGTATTAGCCTGGTGATGAGCTGTGTCTGGCTTTCTCCAAACGTAACGCCTGGCATTCACTCCAAAGAGTTCAATTTAGTCCCATCAGACCAGAGAATTTAGTTTCTTATATTCTGAGAGATGTCTTTTGGCAAATTCCAGGCTGGGAGTGGCTCCTGTCTCTACCATACAGACCTGATTGGTGGATTGCTGCACAGATGGTTGTCCTTCTGTAAGGTTCTCCTCTCTCCACAGAACAACACTGGAGCTCAGACAGAGTGACCATCGGGTCATTGATCACCTCCCTGACTAAGGCCCTTCTTCCCCGATTACTTAGCTTAGATGGCTGGCCAGCTCTAGGAAGAGTCCTGGTGGTTCCAAACATCTTCCACTCTATTGATATTTTGGCGGTGTGGTTTGGGTCATTGTTCTGCTGAAAGATGAACCGTCGCCCCAGTCTGAGGTCAGGTGCACTCTGGCACAGGTTTTTATTCAGGATGTCTCTGCTGCATTCATCTCTCCCTCTATCCTGACTAGTCTTCCAGTTCCTGCTGCTGAAAAACATCCCCACAGCATGATGCTGGCAATGAGCAGTGCCTGGTTTTTCCCACACGTAACGCCTGGCATTCATTCCAAAAAGTTCTATTTTAGTCTCATCTGACCAGAGAATTTTGTTTCTCATGGTCTAAGAGTCCTTTAGATGTCCTTTGGCAAATTCCAGGTGGGGAGTGGCTTCCATCTGGCCACTCTACTTTACAAGCCTGATTGGTGGATTGCTGCACAGATGGTTGTCCTTCTGTAAGGTTCTTCTCTCTCCACAGAAGAACGCTGGAGCTCAAACAGCGTGACCATCGGGTTATTGATCACTTCCCGGACTAAAGCCATTCTCCCTGATCACTCAGCTTAGATGGCCGGACAGCTGGTGGTTCCAAACATCTTCCACTTACAGATGATGAAGGCCGCTGTGCTCATTGGCACTTCAGAGCAGCAGAAGTTTTTCTGTAACCTTCCCCAGCCTCGTGCCTCGAGACAATCCTGTCTCGGAGATCTACAGGCAATTCCTTTGTCTTCATGCTTGGTTTGTGCTTTGACATGCACTGTCAACCCTGGGCCCTTATATAAACAGGTGTATGCCTTTTCAAATCATGTCCAATCAACTGGTGACCACAGGTGAACTCCAATTAAGCTGCTGAAACATCTCAAGAATGATCAGTGGAAACAGAATGTACCTGAGCTCAATTTAGAGCTTCACGACAAAGGCTGTCAATACTGATGTACGTGTGATTTTTCAGGGTTTTTTTTTTTTAATAAATTTGCAACAATTTCTAAAAATCTTTTTTCAACATTGTCATTATTGGGTGTTGTGTGTAGAATGTTGAGGAAATAAATAAATTTAACCAATTTTTGGAATAAGGCTTTAACATAAAAACTGTGGAAAAAGTGAAGCGCTATGAATACTTTCCAGATGCACTGTAGCTCTGATGAAATTGGAAGGTGAAAATTGTATTTATACAGCTCTAGACAATATTTAACAGAGACTAAGCATAAACATTTTTCAGTTGTTACTGATGTATTGATTTGCAGACAAATCGTGCTATTCGCGCGTAAATAGCCGCGTGAACATTTGAGGTTACCCGCTTTATTCGTGCGTCAAATCCGATTCAGAACAGACACGGATTCGCGTGATGGGCAGGCCTTCTGACTTTAGCTTCGTAGCTAAATGGTTAACATGGATTTTATGAAAAAAATAACAGTGTTTATGTGCTTTATAAAGGCTGAAAAACAGCGTCGATACGTTTCGGGTCGTGTCTGAGTCCACTACATACTTTTCAGAGGTGCATCCAGCTCTGTGAGCTCATAAACTCCTCCAGAAACTTAACCTGGCTGACGGAGGCTTTCAACGGGGCTTCTGACTGAGCCCAGCCCAGAGGATTTCCCCTGGAATACCAACAAAAGCTGATACGTCACAATCACGGCCCCACTAGAGCAAGCTCCTGATTGGTTAACACGGTGCGAATGTCCGCTAAAGTTCAGATTTTCGAACTTTCGTCATTCGCGCGTATCGCGCCGCAGGATGTCTATTCGCACGTTTCCATTGACTTAACATGTAAATCACTCGCGCTTGACGCGCGTTCCACGTCTGGTGTGAACGCAGCATTAAACCTTCTTGGCTACCACCACCCCCCTCCCACCCCTTTCATAAAGATATGAAAACTCAGGAGGACTAATAATTCCATACAGTTGAAGTCAGAATTATAAGTCCTCCTGTATACTTTTTTTTAAACATAATTTCTGTGTAACAAAGAGAAAAATTTTTTCAACACATTTCTAAACATAATAGTTTTGATAACTCATTTGTAATAATTGATTTATTTTATCTTTGCCATGATGACAGTATATATTATTTGACTAGATATTTTTCAAGACACTTCTATACAGCTTAAAGTGACATTTAAAGGCCTAACTAGGTTAATTAGGCAAGCCATTGTGTAACAATGGTTTGTTCTGTAGACTATCAAAGCAAATATATTGCTTAAACTGACTAATAATATATAACAACATAATAACATTGACCCTTAATTTTTTTTTTCTAACTGAAACAAAACAAATAAGACTTTCTCTAGAAAAAAAAATATTATCAGACACTCTGTGAAAAATCCCTTGCTCTGTTAAACATAATTTGGGAAATATTTAAAAAAAAAAAACATGTGCTCACCCTAGTCCCAGTGTGAGTGCATGTGAAGCCAGCAGAGACGGCAGGAGGATGAGCAGCACGTCTGAGGAGAACAAACCCCTCTTCATCACTTCAGTCTTCCTCACGCTCAGAGAGCCCGACTGCTTCGGGTGATGAAACACAAACTCCCTGCAGAGATGAAAATAAACAGATAACCAAAGTCAATCATCAGAATCACAATATCCATGTATGGGTGGAAAACAGGGTGTATTCAATTTCTTGTGTCAGTGTGTGATTTTTATGTCACATTATGTATATCCATTCATTCATTCATTAATTTTCCTTCGGCATAGTCTCTATTTCAAAGGTCGCCACAGCGCAATGACCTGTTAACTATTCCAGCTAGTTTTATGCAGTGGATGCCCTTCCAGTTGCAATCCAGTACTGGGAAACGCCCATACACTCACATTCACACACACTCATACTTTACAGTCAATTTAGTTTATCCAATTCACCTTTAGCGCATGTGTTTGGACGATGGGGGAAAGCGGAGCACCCAGAGGAAACCCATACCAATACGGGGAGAACATGCAAACTCCACACAGAAATGCCAACTGAGCCAGCCGAGACTCGAACCAGCGATCTTCTAGCTGTGAAGAGATCGTGCTACCCACTGCACCACCCTGACACCTTTTTTTCCAAACACAATAATGCACAAGCTTTTATGAAATTTACCATGATCTACCATGACATCCATTAAAATGTCATACAATGTAGCAATTATTTATATAGCCCCAAAAAAATATTGTCTGTTATATTTTCATTCATTCATTAATTTTTTCGGCTTAGTCCCTTTATTAATACGGGGTCGCCACAGCGAAATGAACCGGCAACTTTTCCAGCACATTTTTACGCAGCGAATGCCCTTCCAGCCGCAACCCATCTCTGGGAAACTTCCACACACGCTCATTCATACTCATACTCTACGGACAATTTAGCTCACCCAATTCACCTGTACCGCATGTCTTTGGACTGTGGAGGAAACTGGAGCACCCGGAGAGATCCACGCTAACGCAGGGAGAATATGCAAATTCCACACAGAAATAGCAACTGACCCAGCAGAGGCTCGAACCAGCGACCTTCTTGCTGTGAGGGGACAGCACTACCTACTGTGCCATTGCATCGCCCAGTTTTATTTTGAATGTTAAATGTTTAACAATTTTTTTTTTTACATTTTTTTACATTTTTAAAAATATTTTAAAATGGGTTTTTATGTTAGAATTTATCATCTTTTTTTTTTACACTATGCCTCAAACCACTGGGCTTTAACCATTTATTAAGTGATTTTTATTCATTTTAAATGTAAGGATATTTAGTAATCACTAAATTAGCATCAAGCAGCTGCTGCAGATTTGCTAGCTGCACATCCATGATGTGAATCTCCCGTTCCACCACATCCCAAAGGTGCTCTATTGGATTGAGATCTGGTGACTGTGGAGGCCATTTGAGTACAATGAAGTCATTGTCATGTTGGGCATACCAGTCTGAGATGATTCACACTTTATGACATGGTGTGTTATCCTGTGGAAGTAGCCATCAGAAGATGGGTACACTGTGGTCATAAAGGAATGGACATGGTCAGCAACAATACTCAGGTAGGCTGTGGCGTTGACAAGGTATTAATGGGTCCAAAGTGTGCCAAGAAAATATCCCCCACACCATTACACCACCACCATCAGCCTGAACAGTTGATACAAGTCAGGATGGATCCCTGCTTTCATGTTGTTGATGCCAAATTTTGAAACCTACCATCCGAACGTGCCAGCAGAAATTAAGACTCATCAGACCAGGCAACGTTTTTCCAATTTCCAAATTTCCAAATTTTCCAAGTTTCCTTTTCTTAGCTGACAGGAGTGGCACCAGGTGTGGTCTTCTGTTGCAGTAGCCCATCCGCCTCAAGGTTGGACGTGTTGTGTGTTCAGAGATGCTCTTCTGCAAACCTCGGTTGTAAGGAGTGCTTATTTGAGTTACTGCTGCCTTTCTATCAACTGGAACCAGTCTGGCCATTCTCCTCTGACCTCTGGCATCAGCAAGGCATTTGCGCCCACAGAACTGCCACTCACTGGATATTTTCTCTTTTTCAGACCATTCTCTGTAGATCCTAGAGACGGTTGATAGTAGTAGATCAGCAGTTTCAGAAATACTCAGACCAGCCCGTCTGGCACTAACAACCATCCCCATTCTGATGCTCGCTTTGACCTGCAGCAGATCGTCTTGACCATGTCTACATGCCTAAATGTATTGAGTTGCTGCCATGTGATTGGCTGATTAAAATTTGTGTTAATGAGCAGTTGGACAGGTGTACCTAATAAAGTGGCCGGTAAGCGTATATATGCCAAGTTGAACGATGATAAGATTTTTTTTTAGAATTAGATTTTTACAAAAATGAATGAATGACTGGACAGATTAATTGATTATTTATTTGTGTAAAACATTATTTTATTGTGGTAAACACAAATGTCTATTTTCTTACACTAATTTTTATTGTCTCAGATTTTCAGGTACTATAAATAAGATGCTTATGAAACCAAAATGAAGCCATGCAGTTGAGTCGAACAAGCATGCACCACGTGAATCTGAAAGGTGTTTTAAGCTAAAGTTCTCCGAAACAGATTAAGGATTTTAATCTCAGTGTAAATCTTGCCAATCCTGTCATATAATGCTTGTTTCTAATCACACTGGACCTCAAACACAAGCAAAAGTAGGAAGGTAGAAATCAGTGTTTTGTTTGGTTTTATCTTCCAAAATCACTGAAATAGATGACACTAATGTTTTCACTAATATTTTTAATTAGCTCCTATTTTTGTTTACATATTTTCATTATAATTATATTGCATGTGGCGACACGATGGCTCAGTGGTTAGCACTGTCGCCTCACAGGACAAAGGTCACTGGTTCGAGCCCCGGCTGGGTCAGTAAGCGTTTCGGTGTGGAGTTTGCATGTTGCAGTGGGTTTTCTCCGGGTGCTCCAGTTCCCCCACGAGTACAAAGACATGTGCTATACACCATTTTGAGGGATGTAAACAAAAACAAATGTATTTCTAATCTAAAAAGAGTCACTTATTTATAAATAACGTTATGATAGCTGTTTTAACAATAAATTAGGATTGAAATGCCTCATGTTACAGTAATGAAAGAGTTTGATAACAACAGAAATGTTCATGGGCCAATGACATGACCACATTGAAATGGTCTATAGGTGACTTGAATAAGCTAAATTGGCCATAGTGTATGAGTGTGGATGTGAATGCGAGAGTGTATGGGTGTTTCCCAGAGCTGGGTTGCGGCTGGAAGGGCAGCTGCTGTGTAAAACGTCTGCTAGATAAGTTGGGGGTTCATTCCGATGTGGCGACCCCTGATTGATAAAGGGACTAAGTCAAAGGAAAATGATGGAATGAATGAATATTGCATGCATATTTTTTCATCCATTCATTGTCCTTCAGCTTAGTCTCTTTATTCATCAGGATGAGGAAACACTTTGAAATACTTTGAGTAAGACATGAATAGATATCCTGGGGCACGTTTCACGCGAATGAGGCGGCACAAATTGAACATTTTTCACTTAATGCGCGAATCACTTGATTTGCTCATGTTAACCAATCAGGAGCTTGCTCTTGTAGGGGCATGATTATTTTGTTGGTGTCCCGAGGGAAAATCCTCCAGCCGACACCAGGACAACAGCTCATCAAACTGGGCTCGGCTCAAGTCGGAAGCACTGCTAAAAGCTTCCATCATCCAGGTACAGTTTCTGGAGTAGTTGATGAACTCACAGAGCTGGGAGCACCTCTGAAATTAGGATCTAGTGGACTCAGACACAACTCTAAACGAATCTACGCTGTTTTTCAGCCTTCCTAAAGCACATAAACCACAGCTACTCTCTCAATAAAATCCATTTTAGCCATTTAACAACGAAACTACAGTCACCGAGCACACAGAAGCCCCATCCATGACGCGAATCCACATCTACTGTGAAGCGAATTTGATGCACGAGTGAAGTAACGTATGAGTGATGCGATTCGAGCAAATGAGGTTGCGTGAATGACGCTTGAGTGGCGTTGAGTGACGCATTTTGAGCGAATGAGGTGCCACCAATTGAGAGTTTTGCACGTTTGACATGCTTTATCATGTGATTCGCTCGAGTTCGAAAACTTGAACTTTAGCTGACCTTTGCGCCGCATTAACCAATCAGGAGCTTGCTCTTATAGAGGCGTGATTATGACGCCTGTTGTTGGTGTCCTGAGGGGAAATCCTCCTGCCGACATCGGACAACAGCTCATCAAACTTGGCACAGCTCAAGTCGGAAGCACCGCTGAAAGCGAATGAGGTGGCGAGAATGACGCAAGAGTAGTGTGAGTGACGCGATTCAAGCGAATGAGTTGGCGAGAATGACGCATGAGTGGCGTGAGTGACGCCATTCGAGCGAATGACATTTACATTTACATTTAGTCATTTAGCAGATGCTTTTATCCAAAGCGACTTACAAATGAGGACAAGGAAGCAATTTACACAACTATAAGAGCAACAATGAAAAAGTGCTGTAGGAAAGTTTCAGGTGTGTAAAGTCTAAGAAGCAAAGCATTAGTAATGTAAGATTTATTTTTTTTTTTTTTTTGAGTACAGTTAGTGGTATATTCAGAGAGGCAATTGCAGATTAGGAAGTGAAGTGGAAACTAAATAGTTGAGTTTTTAGTCGTTTCTTGAAGACAGCGAGTGACTCTGCTGTTCTGATGCATTTAGGGAGTTTATTCCACCAGCTGGGCAGATTGAATGCAAGAGGTCGGGAAAGTGATTTCTTCCCTCTTTGGGATGGAACCACGAGGTGACGTTCATTCACAGAACGCAGGTTTCTGGAGGGCGCATAAATCTGCAGAAGTGAGAGCAGATAAGAAGGAGCAAGGCCAGAGGTCGCTTTGTAAGCAAACATCAGAGCTTTGAATTTGATGCGAGCAGCAACTGGCAGCCAGTGCAAATGGATGAGCAGCGGAGTGACTCATATGAGTTCATATGACAAATGAGGTGGCGTGAATGACACGAGTGGCGTGACTGATACGATTCGAGCGAATGAGGCGGCGTGAATGATGCGTGAGTAGCGTGAGTGACGCATTAAGCGAATGAAGTGGTGTGAATGATGCATGAGAGGTGTGAGTGACGTAATTCGAGCGAATGAGGTGCCACGAATTGAGCGTTTTGCACGTTTGACAAGCTAAATCATGCGGTTCGCTCAAGTTAAAAAATTTTAACTTTAGCTGACCTTTGCGCCGCATTAACCAATCAGGAGCTTGTTTTTATAGCGGCATGGTTATGGCACAGTGCCTGTTGTTGGTGTCCTGAGGGGAAATCCTCCTATCAACATCGGACAACAGCTCATCAAACTGGGTTTGGCTCAATTATGAAGCACCGCTGAAAGCCTCCATCATCCAGGTACTGTTTCTGGAGTAGTTGATGAACTCACAGAGCTGGGCGCATCTCTGAAATTAGGATCTAGTGGACTCTTACACAATCCGAACTAATCTACGTTGTTTTTCAGCCTTCCTAAAGTACATAAACTCTCTCAATAAAATCGATTTTAACCATTTAGCAATAAGGCTTAAGTCACCGGGCAGACAGAAGCCCCGTCCATGACGTCAATCCACATTTATTGTGCAGCGAATTTGACGCGCAAATGATGCAAATTTGTTGGGCAAATGAAGCGAATAACTGCAAAACTCAAGAGGCCTAATAATTCTGACTTCTACTTTATGCACAGTCATGAAAACTGACACTGACCAAGTGAAGTTTTTAGTGCTTCCTCAAAGGTTTTTGCTTTTAATAGCATCACGATATCAGTCTCTGTTGCTAAAACCTGCAATCCCACTTCATTAAATGCTGCAGTTCAGAGAGTTTGGTAAGGCTTTAGCTGTAATGAAGGATAGGTGCATAAAGACGTTTCTCCTCCAGAGAGCAAACTCATCCAACTGTTAAAGGCTCAGATTGGCTGACTCATGGTGTGGCGCTCAAGCTATTTTTGTGTGTTGACTAAATGATCCTCAGTGAGATTTAAGCAGAGCTGTTTGTGTGGCTAACAGAGGTCAAAAACACTCAAACACTGCAACAATCTGTGAAGTGCTCTGTTGTTTTAAAAGGACATATGCGAGTATATGTAAACACTTCTTTATTAGATTTGATTCGATTATGCTGTTTGGTACTTAATTTATCATCATTTTAAAGGGGACCAGAAACACATCCTATGAATCCAAAATACTGATTTTTAAAGATTTACTTCGGTAAATATTATTGGATCACAAACCGCACGGTACGGATCACATTATGGTTTCTTTGTGTGTGTGTGTGTCTCATTAGCAGACCACAACTGTTGTAAGCGTGTGTATGTGAAGAACAGGGGCTGTGGCATCTCTTTGGGAGATCATAACAGGTTTAAAAGTGAAGACCAGGGCTGGCGGGCAAGCTGCTGCCAAACCAAATTTTCACTACCCACCTATGTCATTTTTTAGTCTGAAAAACAAATTCAAAACCGCCTACTTGGGTGGGAAACCGACCAATCTGGCAACACTGAAAACAGCACTGCAAGAAACTTTTGGTTTAATAAAATAAAACGAAGGAATAATCATTTAAAAAAATAAATTGTAAAATATTCAATACTGTGAAAAATTCCCTGCTACTACTACTGTTGCTAAAAACGCTAAATCTAACATTATAATTTTTAAAACCCATATTTATTTTAGTCTCATTTTCAATAAATGATGCAGTTATTTACTCAATTTCATGTTTCATTTCTAGATGGATAATTTTTGGAGAATTATTCAGTGGCATATTTTTGATGGCTGGTTGACGCCACCTTTAGGTTAAATATTGTAATTGCAGCCTACAGGTTTCATTTTTGAGCACATGGAGGTGATTTTAATCTGTATCATACACATCAGTGGTTTTATCTAAACTATAAACTCTTATCCCAGCACTCTTGTGTTATTTGACTGTTTGTCACTTCATAACTAACTCAAAAGACTAAAGACTGAATCTCTTTCTTGGTTTCTGTGTTTTTCAAACACAGATTTGAATGCAGCGGTTCGAATGATTAATGAATAAATATGCAAATCATAATCCTTTATCATTTACAGTTGAAGTCAGAATTATTAGCCCCCCTGTTTATATTGTTCACTAATTTCTGTTTAACGGAGAGCAGATTTTTTCAACACATTTCTAAACATAACAGTTTTAATAACTCATTTCAAATTACTAATTTATTTTATCTTTTTTTTACTGCCATGATGACAGTACATAATATTTGACTAGATATTTTTCATGACACTTCTATACAGCTTAAAGTTACATTTAAAGATCAACTAGGTAAATTTGGTTAATTAGGCAGGTTAGGGTAATTGACCCTTCGCTAAGCCCCGCCCTCCTTAGTTACTGTAAGCTTTCGTGCCTGGCATGGCTTTTACAATGTGTGTGCGCCGGTGTCAGACATTCCCAGGGATATAATGTCATTTTTGGCAAACAGGTGAGATATCCGAGAAAGCCAGACAAAAAAAGGAGTGCAGTATGCAGTACAGGGGTATATTCACAACATAATAGAAAACCGATTAGAGAATAATTCAAAATTGAAGCTAGCTTAGCCTAGCCGCCTCATACGCTGACCATTTAACAGCTTAGCTCATGCTCAGCGGGAGAGGTGAAATTTTAAAAAAAATCTATTAATAACAAGTTAAACAGTGATTTCTCTATTTTTAGCCAAAAAGCCTGATAGACTATTGTTGTGCAATGAAATATAGCCTTACTAACCAACGAGGAAACACGCATGGACAAAGCTTCTACATAATTCATTCATTAAAAGAACAGCCAGAAAGGGGAAACTGATTGATTTGTGCTGAATATTAGCATCATTGTCCCATAACAAAGTACAGTAAGTTACCCATTACTGTCAGTATATCTGTGTGCTCTTTATAAGTTAATGAAAAACAGCTGCTGGTAAAGTATATTGATCGCAAGTGCTCAGTTTGGATCATATCTCGGTTTTGTTCTGTTGATTTGTAATTTCAAATATCTGTAGCTTGAAATAGATAGAAATAGGAAGATCAGTATATGTTATACCAGATTCGTATTTTCCAGATCAATAACTCATGATCTATTCGCTATTAGTATGACTAAGGTACTATGGGCTTAAACGGAGCATTAGTCATGATATAAAGCGGGAAAAAAAGAAAAAGAGCTTAAAACATAACCAGCTTGGTATTTTTGTAGGAACACAGATTAGATCTGTTTAGGGTAAGAGGTGTGTGAGTTATTGCCGTTTGTCTATCACTGAATATCAATACGAATATCAAAACAAAACCAACTTAACTCCGCTCCTTTAGCGCCCCTCACACATCTTGATCCACGCTGGCATTTCTCCTCTTGGGTTTTTGGTTTTGAAAAGGGAAAAAAAATCCACCATCCTGTCCAAACTTTAAGGATACCGAGTATCAGATTTGCACAATCCATATTACAAAGCTTTGGTCTGTCTGCAATTGAAAGCTTGACAGAGCACCTGCGCATAGCTACGGTTGATAAGCCACGATTGGTGGATGGCGGTTTTTGGGTGTGGCTTAGCGAAGGGTCAATTAGGCAAGTCATTGCGCAGTTTAACAATGGTTTGTTCTGTAGACAATAGAAATAGAAAAGAGCTTAAAGGGGTCAATCGTTTAAAAAAATAAAAACTGCCTTCAGTCTAGCCAAAATAAAACAAATAAGACTTTCTCCAGAAGAAAAATATATTATCAGACATACTGTGGAAATTTCCTAACTCTGTTAAACATCATTTGGGAAATATTAAAACAATTCAAAAGGGGGGCTAATAATTCAGACTTCAACTGTATGTTGCGTGGGTGTTGAGATCCTGATCTTTTAATGATTATTCGTGCAGCTTACACTAAATGCTTTGATGCAGGCTAAACAAGTGGTGACAGAAAACACCTTTAATAACCTAAGAAACCCACCACATCCCAAAAAACCCACCACAACGTCTACTGTCGTCATTATATTTTACAGAAAAGCCTAAATGCTTTCATACATGTGCTGTGAATGACGTGAGAGGCGATCTCTTTGCAATCATTGCAAATATAGTATTAATCTACACGTAAAAAAAAATGCATTAATCCGGGAGTCACATGTGTTTCGAACCGTGGGTTGTGATCCGTATGAATCACGGATCAACAGTGATCCATTACACCCCTAGTAAATATATCAAAACATTTTTTTTATTAGTAATATGCATTGCTAAGGGACAACTTGAAAAGCGATTTTTTAATATGTACATTTTATTTAATCGTAAGATTTCTGATATTCAAATAGTTGTATCTAAACCAAATATTGCCCTATTATAACAAACTATACATCTAGCATATTTACTTAGCTTTCAGGTGTTGTATGAATCTAAATTTAAAAAACAATTGGGATATTGTTTGTCCAGTCACATTTACTAAATGCTTTCCTATCAAGCACATACACCACAATGTAAAATCTGTAAAAAAATAAATAAATAAAAAAACATCTGGTTAATGTAACTCTTACTTTGGCGGGAGGTTTTCCGGCCTACTGGACCAATCCCACACCCATTCAGCACTCACCCGCCGGTCATTCTCATCCGACTGAAAGACAAAAACAGCACTTCATTTACAACCTTCAGGAGCCAGAAGTTACACTGTATGGATCAAAAATAATCATTCAAAGAGCTTGTCCTTAAAATCGAGAGCTAATTAATTAGTGCTAGAATGAACTTCAATGGTGAAATAAAACACGCAAAATTATCTAAAGGACATAATTAACCATTATTCAGTTTTTCGAAGTGAAATTGTATTTAATGTAGCCTGACTCGTATTTTATTTCATCATACAAATTTGGTCTGAGATCAATAGTCATTTTGAAGCTTTTATCATGTTATGCTTGATTGATGCAACATAAATTTGCATACATCTAATCAAAACAGTTAAAAAACAGTGTTTGGTAAAGTTACTTTCAAAAGAAGCTTTCTAGTCTGTTATGCTTGATTGATGATACTTGATTATACATTTGCATAAATTAACTAAACCGTTAAAAAGCAGTGTTTGGTAAAGATACTTTGGTAACACTTTACTTAAAGGGGTGTTCAAAAGTCTGTCCTGAAACATTTGCAATCATGACATAAACGTGAATGTGATTTTATTCATGCCTATACATAACACTATTAAACCAATCACGTCCTCAATCTGTCATAAAGCTACGGTTATTATTGCAACCATAAATGTTCATGACACTATTAAAACAATCCTTTTAGAAGAAAAAGAAATACCTGTATAGTAACACAATCTGTGCTGCTGCTGCTGCCCTCACTGCCTGGTTTAGGAGATCCAGATGTTCTGGGGGTCACGACCTGTGGAGGACTGAAATCAAAGAGGGAAATCAATATAAAAGGCAATTAATGGACACAGACAGGATGCTTTATTCATTCATTCATTTTCTTGTCGGCTTAGTCGAATTAATCCGGGGTCGCCACAGCGGAATGAATCGCCAACCAATCCAGCAAGTTTTTACGCAGCGGATGCCCTTCCAGCCACAACCCATCTCTGGGAAAAGGATGCTTTATCATTTCTCTCATTACACACTCACACAGAAGTTTCTCATTTAAAGGGACAGCTCACCTAAAATGACAACTCTCTTCTGTTATGTATTTATTAACCCTTTACTTGTTCAAACTTGTTTGAGCTTCTTTCTTTAGCTGACACATAAGAATATGTTGAAGAAAGAAGGAAACCTGTAACCATTGACTTCCATTGTATTCGTTTTTCTTATGGAAGTCAATGGTTACCGGTTTTCATCTTATAATATTTTATTTTGTTTTCAATAAATGAAGGAAACTCATAAAGGTTTAGAACCAGACGTAGAAAATGACGTTGATATTTGGTTGATTTTAGGTTGTGTTGGAATGTGACTAAAATCCAAAGTCTAGCCAACATCTTAAACCAACATCATGCTGACATTCTGACATCAAACTGATTTTCAGTTCCCCTCAAAACGCAATGTCCCCAAAAAGTTGGTGTACAAAGTCCTGTGCCTGCTGTGATTTTCTCATTTAAAGGGATAGTTCACCCTAAAATGAAAACTGTGTCATTGTTTATTGACCTTCCACTTGTTTAAAACCTGTTTGACTTTCTTTCTTCAGTTGAACACAAAAGAAGATATTTTGAAAAATGCTGGAAATGTGTAACCATTGACTTCCATAGTATTAGTTTTTCTTACTAGGTAAGTCAATGGTTACCGGTTTTGATTTTCAAAATATCTTTTTTTTGCTTAAAACAAATGAAAGAAACTCATAAAGGTTTAGAACCAGATCAATTTCATTTCAGCTCTTTGCTATCCCAGCAGGCACACGACATCATAAGACATTAATATTAGGTTAGATTTAGGTTGTGATGTCAGGTGACCAAAATCCAACGTCTAGCCAGGGTCTAAGGACAACATTATTGTGATGTCCAATAACGTCAACAAATGACGTTGATATTTGGTTGATTTTAGGTTGTGTTGGAAAGTGACTAAAATCCAAAGTCGAGCCAACATCTTAAAACCAACATCATACTGACATTCTGACATCAAACTGATTTTCATTTCCACTCAAAACGCAATGTCCCCAAAAAGTTGGTGTACAAAGTTAATCAGAAGTCCTGTGCCTGCTGTGATTTTCTCATTTAAAGGGATAGTTCACCCTAAAATGAAAACTGTGTCATTGGCTATTGACCCTCCACTTGTTCAAAACCTGTTTGACTTTCTTTCTTCAGTTGAACACAAAAGAAGATATTTTGAAAAATGCTGGAAATGTGTAACTACTGACTTCCATAGTATTAGTTTTTCTTACTAGGTAAGTCAATGGTTACCGGTTTTGATTTTCAAAATATCTTTTTTTGCTTAACACAAATGAAGGAAACTCATAAAGGTTTAGAACCAGATCAATTTCATTTGAGCTCTCAGCTATCCCAGCAGGTACACGACATCATAAGACGTTAATATTAGGTTAGATTTAGGTTGTGATGTCAGGTGACCAAAATTAAATGTCTAGCCAGCATAAAGGATAACGTTATTTTGCTGTCTAATAATGACGTCAAATGATGTTGATATTTGGTTTAGGTTTAGTTGGAAAGTGGCCATCCAACAGAGCCAACATCTTAAACCAACATCATATTGACGTCAAATATTGACGTCGAATTATTCGCCAGGTATGGCAACTAAAATCCAATGTCTGATAGACGTCATAGCGGTAACGTCCACACAACATCATTAAATGTTGATATTTGGTTGTTTTTAGGTTAAGATGGAAAGTGATCAAAATCTGAAATCAGAAACTGCTGTCGGCCTGACAATGGGTTCTGACTAGGGGTGTGACAGATCACGGTTGATCCGTACGGATCACAACCGACGGATCGTAATGCATGTGATCCCCGGATTATTACCTTTTTTTAACTTGTAGGTTAATCCAACATTCATAACAATTGCAGAGAGATCGCCTCCCGGTCATTCAAATCACTTGTATGAACACATTTTGGCTTTCCTGTAAAATATAATGATAATTATTTACAAGAAGTTGTGGTGGGACCAACCTAATGCTTTCTTAGATTCTTAATTAAAGGCGTTTCAAGAGTTCACACTTAGCTGATGATTTATAAAAGCTTGTTTGGCATGCTGTCCCGGGAGAGAGCCCTGAGCTCAAGGGCTCCTTAAGCCCGGGGCTTCCTCCCACTGGCAGAGCGAGAGGGGAGCCTGAGCTCGGTGGATCTTAGAACTCCCCTGCTGCGGTAGCTAAGGGAACACAAGGGGTTAGACAAATGCTTGATTGTTATGTATGTTGAATGTTTTTGGATGGTGCAAGGAAACCGGAGAACCTGGGGAAAACCCACGCGGACACGGGGAGAACATACAAACTCCTCACAGAAACACCCACCGGTCCTGTGGAACCAGGGCTGGCAGTGTTCTTGCTGTGGGGCTCACAGTGCTAACCACTGGGCTGCCGTGCCGCCCAATCAGAGGTAAAGGAGGAGAATAGGGGAGGAGGGGGGTTTCTTCCAAACGAAGATAAAGTGAACTGAAAACTGAGGCTATTTATAGTAGCTTAGGGCTCATATGATTGGAAGGTAGTGATTAGCAAATGCGAGACCGGCCGTGATAAATCATAAGCATGTGATCCTCTCGAAATTAGTTTTATGAATAAACTTCACTTTTTGAAACTGCTTTAGTTTTGTTTTGTTTTTAGGTGTTTTTGCCTGCATAATGCATTTAGTGTAAAGCTGCACAATTAAACATTAAAAGATCGTGCTCTCAATTCAAACCTGCGTAACATGAAAGATAAATAATAGTGATCTGCATGTTTATTAATCCTTCAAAGCGCTGCATTCAAATCTGTGTTTGATTGAGAGAGATTCAGTTTTAAATTTTTTCAGTGAGTTACAAACAATTCAATAACACAGAGGTACTGGAAGAACAGTTTATAGTTCAGATATAAACACTGATGTTTATGGTGAAGATTAAAATCACCGTTTAATGCAACTTGACTTGTGAATGTTGTAGCAGTTACATTGTGTAACCAATGGGTGATAACAAACAACCATCAAAATTATGTTACTGAATAGGTTTACAAAAACGATCCACCTACAATGAAACTACACTGTAAAAAGTGAAAATTTAAACAAATTACTTCGACTTGTTACAAGTGAATGAATTAAGTTTGACAAACTTAATTTATAACAGTTTTCAGTAATAAATAAAGTTAGTTATTTAAGGTGTAACAAGCTTTAGTAAGTTATTTAAGGCAAGTATGAGTATTGTACACTATCAATAATGAGCAATACTTGTATTTGCCGCAAAACATTAGAGTATTATTTTTATATTAACAAGGGAAGGGAATTATTTGTACTGTAATAAAAGTACTTTTTACTATTTTTATTATATTTACAGTATTATATCGAATGATATAATAGTACTGTACTGTATGTACTGTTCCATTCTTGTTTTCTAAAATAAATTACTAAAACCTGTTACACCTAAAATAACTAATTTAATTTATTACTGAAAACTGTCATAAATTAAGTTTGTCAAACTTAATTCATTTAATTGTAACAAGTCGAAGTAATTTGTTTACATTTTCACTTTTTAAAGTGTATAATGAAGTTTTAAACGTGAATTGGTGAATCGTTAATTGAAAATAAATATGATCTGTTGTACAAGATGTTAGATTTCTATATTTAGCATTATCAGCAACAGTAGCAAAGATCAATATTGAATATTTTCCTTTTTTTCCAGCTGCTTCTTTCTTCATTTTTAATTTTATTCAAATTACAGGGTCTAAGCTCTGTTTGTTTGAGCCAATAGTTTTGTTGTAATATTTTTCTATAAATGGAAAGCAAATGACATTTGTCTCCTTTTTTGCTGATTCAAAAAATGGTCCCAATCCATGACTCAAAAACCGTAGTGTGATCAGAACTGCGAGATGTGCTCCATTACACCATTAGATCTGACATCAACCCGATTTACAATTCCAAACTGACGTCATGTTGACATCCTGTGCCTGGTAAGATGTTTCTTATTTAAAGGGATATTTCACCCAAAAATGAAAATTCTGTAATTTATTCATCCTTCACTTGCTCAAAAAAAATCTTCATTTGAACACAAAAGAAAATATTTTGAAGAATGCTGGAAACCTGTAACCGTTGACTGTCATAGGGCAGTCATTGGTAACTGGCTTCAGCTTGCATCTAAGGGCCTACTCACACTATGCTATCCAAACCGTGCCCAGGCCCGTTTCCCGGATCGTTTAAGAAGTGTGAGTGCGCTGAATCGCGTTTAGGCACGGTTCACTTGGCCGACCCTGGCCCGGTTGGAAGAGGAGGGCCTGAGCGTGGTTCACTTGGGCTTTTGTACGTTTGTAGTGTGAGTGCAAAACTCGCCAAAACCCGAAACTGAAAGCCAGACGTAACTTTAAGGGGCTGTTTCATATGGATTTATTAATCATTCTTACTGTTCAGTGAACGCAAACTGCCATAGTTTATTAAAGACGCAAACTCCTCACAGCACGACAGCTGTGCGCCTTCAGCAGACCTCATTCCTGCAGCACGAGAGCTTTATGATTGTTTGAGCGCCAAAAGTGGCGGATCTGTTCGGCGAAATATCTGACTGCGTGTCACCGCATCCCTAAGGACTGTTTGGCGAAATATTTGACCGCATGACTGAAACGATATAACTAGAGCAATCTCCACTGTGCTGCTGAGTGAGGCCCCGTTTACACTAATGCATTTTCATTTGAAAATGCATAAGTTTTGCTACGTTTACCCATCCGTCCATACTACGCCGGAGTTCTCGAGCGCTGAAAACGGAGAGTTTTAAAAACGCTGGGGAGGCCGTTATCATTCTGAAACGCTGCTGCTCCGTCTTAGTGTGGATGAGGAAAAACGGAAACATCTGAAAATGAAGGCGGGGCTGCTGAGATTCGCTTCCTAATTGGGGCTTTTGTGTCATTGCGTGTCCTTCCCTTATTCGTCAAGCCTCTATCACATGACTATAACACATGGCTTTAACTCTACTGGAAGACAGTACTGTAATCAACAACATGGGCACAGAAATGGGAGTGTTGTTCGCACTATTGTCTGTTTTAGGCGCCATTGTGTAGTGTTATGTATTTGTGTTTTTTGTGCTCTGTTTCTCTGTGTTTTTTTTCCCTCTCTCTCTCTCTCGCTCTCGCTCTGTTCTCCCGTATCTGCTCTCATGTATTCTCAGGTTCCGTTCATTGGTCCATTCAGCTGTCAGTCGTTCCTCCCCGGTTACGTCACTTTTACGTCACATCCAATAAGAAAAGACCACCCGTGTTAAAAGCGCGCGCCAGACTACTCGCTCTCTCTTGCTTGCATTTTTCTCTTTCGCTGTTTTGTGGCTTGTTTGTATTTACCGCGTGCGTTTAGAAATTACCCTGTCTAACTGTGTTTTGTTGTTGCCCGTTCTGTGTGCACGTTATCCGTCCGTTATTCGTACATTGTTCTTAGTTTATCGTTGTTTACGAGGCTTGGACGAAGCGGACAGGTAAGAAGGTCACGTGACATACATTTCGCAACACTCAGGACTACTCTGCTGTCTAGTACACTAGGTTAGGGGCGAGCGCTACTCCTTGTACTTTTTGGATAGATAGATAGAGTAGATAGTTAGGACTCGGAAGATCTTCGTGTGTTAATTATACTGTTTTTCTCATAGTTAGTTAGCTAGATGCTTCTGGGAAGTTAGATTTAGTTTGGGTTTTGTTCTTTTCATTTTTTTTAGCGCTGCCCGCGTCCCTTCTGCCAGCTCTCTTGTTTTCCCCGTCTTTATTTGTTTCAGTGTTGTACATATTGTAAATAGTATATTTTTGCTTTACTTACTTTTTCTTTATTTTTGATTAATTCGTTGTTGTTGTTCACTTTGGGATTGTAAATAAAAACACACATATTTTGGCATTACTTTGGTTGTCTTTCCACTCATTCACTGTTTATATAAATATATTTTAATTAAATAAATGTCAAACCCCAAAACCCTAGACTAACATCAGGGGTTTGTAACAGTAGTTATTCATTTGTTACGTTTAGTAACAACTCGACCTCGCCGTCTGTCCACAAAAATACCTCTCTTGCTTTCTTTGCCATCGCGTTTAATGTTCAACCGGGTCTGTTGATTAACTATAACCAAATACCGAGCATGACGCATGCTTTCTGTTTATACTAGAACGCGCATGCCCAGAGTGCACGAATGGTCACGTGATATACGTTTTTGGTGGCGTAGTGTGGACGGAGATATGTTCAGAGACGATAGGTAAAAC